TTTTTCTTGGTATAATACTGAAGCCTTTCCAGGTTTGTCAAGGATTGATACATAATTAGCCAGGTGTGGTGTCGCACGCCTTTAATCCAGCACTCAAGAGGCAGAGGCAGGCTGATCTCTGTGAGTCTGAGAACTAGATTCCAAGCCAGCCATGGCTACATAGTAAGACACTATTAAAAAAAAAAAAAGATAAATGCAGTATCACCTAATCAAACTCCATGCCTAGGCCAGAAGTTGGCAAATCCAATTAAAACACAAATGCCAATACATAATGAAACCTATCACTTTGTGGGCTAAAAACTGAAAATCTGATTTAAAAAACCTAAACCAGTTGCTTTTTTGTTTGTATGCTTTTTATTTTTTACCTGAAAAATAATTGGCATGTCATAAAATTCAGTGCTTTGAATATATTTAGCATAGTCACAAGGTTTTACAGTCAATACCTATGGTGGCTTGAATTGGTATGGCCCATAGACTCATGTGTTTCAATGCTTAGCCTATGGGGAGTGGCAATATTAGGAGGTGTGGCCTTGTTGGAGGAATTGTGTCATTGTGGGGGTGGGCTTTGAGGTCTAATATGCTCAAGCTATACCCAGTGTGACACAGTCTCCTACTGCTGCCTGCCAGTATATATCCAGATATAGAACTCTCAGCCCCTTCTGCACGTGCCTGCCCGCCTGCCACCATGTTTCCCACCATGGCATTAATGTACTAAACCTCTGAAACTGTAAGCTAGCCCCAACTAAATGTTTTCCTTTATAAGAGTTGCCATGGTCCTGGTGACTCTTCACAGCATAAAACCCTAAGACAATACCGCTAACTAATGAATACTCCAAGAGCTACTAAACAGTTTCTTGGCAGTTTCCCCACATCTTGCCATATCCTCTGGCAGGCATCAGTCTATTTTCCAGCTTCACAGAGTTACCTATTCTGGTTATTTAACATAGGAAAATCAATACAACACATGGCCTTTCTCATCTGACTTCTTTTTTTCTGTATTGAAACAGCATCTCACTACGTAGCCCTGGCTAGCCCAGAACTCAGAAATCTGCCTGCTGCTGCCTGAGTGCTGGGATTAAAGGTGTGCACCACCATACCCAGTCCTATGTGACTTCTTTTGCTTAACATATATTTGAGATTCATCTATATTATAACATAAATCAGTATATCTCACCTTTTTATGGCTGAATAACAGTTGTTGGGAGACACAATTTACTTATCCATTCACACAGTTGACAACTATTTGGATTGCTACAAAAGTTGGAAATATAGTTCTATGTAAATTTGTTTTCAAGGTTTTTTTTTTTTTTTTTGGTTTGGTTTTGCTATTCAAGACAGGGTTTCTCTGGCTTTGGAGGCTGTCCTGGAACTTGCTCTGTAGATCAAACTGGTGTCAAAGTCACAGAGATCCACCTGTCTCTGCCTCCCAAGTGTTGGGATTAAAGGTGTGAGCCACCACTACCTGACTTCAAGTTTTTTTTTTTTTTGGTTTTACGAGACAGGGTTTCTCTGTATTGTTTTGGAGGCTGTCGGTCCAGCCTGGCCTCAAACTCACAGAGATCCTCCTGCCTCTGCCTCCCGAGTACTGGGATTAAAGGCGTGCGCCACCACTGCCCGGCCAAGTTTTTTTTTTTAATTTGTGTGTACACATATGAGCAAATACATATACATGTGCAGCATATGGATGTGTGCACATCTGTGTGAGGTGTGCCCACTAATCATACACATGTGGAGGCCTGAGGTTTATGAGTGTCTTCTTCAGTCACTTCCTATGGTGTGTGCGCACTAATTCTATTTAGCTTTTAGAGGACTGGTCAAGTTTTTCTGCAGTGGGGGTACAGCTCTGCTATTGTATCAGGGTTTTATATCCTCCACATCCCAACCAATATGCTATTTATGGATGGCAATACTAGTGGATGTGCAGATAAGTCACACCTCCTTAATCAATGAGGTAGAACATCTTTACATGAGCTTATTTCTCATTTGCATGAGTATTTATTAGGGAGGATTCTGTGTGCTTGTGAGCATCTATGTATTCTACATTATTCATGTGGAGGTCAGAGGACAACCTAAGGGAGTTGGTTCTCTTGCCCTACCACATGAGTCCCAAGGACTGAACTCAGGTTGTCAGGCATAGCAACAAGAAACTTTGCTTACTGAGCCATCCCTACTGGGTACCTGAAACAGCAAGAGCAGGGGACCAAATCCAGGGCTTTCTGCATGTTGGGCAAGTGTATTTTGCTGTTGAGCCTATATCTTGGTACACATCTACACATAACCTATTAATTGAGAGTTTTGTTTCCTTTTGTTTTGGGGACAGGGTCTCTTAAAACCCAGACTGGCCTTAAACTTCCTGTCTCTACCTCTCCATTGTTGGAATTATGCATGTATTCCATCTATTATGCCACTTTGTTCAACTTTCCTTTTTTACTTTCTATCCTTTATACTGGGTAATCTCAACTGACCTATCTTCCAAGTTTTCTCATTCTTCTGGTTTCTTTCTCTTCCTTTCTTTTTTTTAAGCACCCAAATCTTATGCTATTTCAAGTCTACTGCTGTGTAGCTTAGTCTGGCCTCAAACTCATGACAACTTCCTCCCTCAGTTTCTGGAGCGCTGGGCTTTTATAGGTGTCTGTAGCCAGTGTCAGCGTATTTTTTGAGTAAATATAAAACTCTGTAATCTTGCCAAGTCTAATCTTTGCAGATTAACAACATCAGCTCTCCTAACACTCACTTATGATTTTTCTCTTTCTTTAGAAAAAGGTTCAGGGGCTGGAGAGATGGTTCAGCAGTCAAGAGCACTGCCTGCTCTTCTAGAGTCCTGAGTTCAATTCCCAGCACCCACATGGTGGCTCACAACCATCTGTAATGAGATCTGGTGCCCTCTTCTAGCCTGCATGTTACATGCAGGCAGAACACACTGTATATATAATAAACAAGTCTTTTATTTTTTAATGAAAAAGGTTAAAAAAAAAAACCCTAAAGCCACCTCTATTAAGCAAAAGATACAAGTCAAACACTATACATATTCCAATGTAATACTGGCAAAATTCCTATGGAAAATTCCTTAGGACAAAAATCACTATTTCTTTTCCTCTTGAGGCTAGCATTAACAGACAAGCATCTACTTACCGAACCAGCCTGAAATCAGATAAAAGAACAATGAGGATGTGTTACTATAGCTGCTGCTGTGACACTGGGAGCATAGCAGTACCTATGAGGATACAACCCCACAGATGTGAATAGTCTCTACGGTCTGCCTCTTGGACATTTGTTTTAATGTTATTACACAAATCTCCTGAAAGTAAGATACAAAGAAATGTGATGAGACCTGAACTGTCTAGTTCGAGGGTAGGAAAGATTGTTCTATGGTTGAGATTGCACACTATTCGTATAGAGAACCTGAGTTCAGTACTGAGCCACCACCATGTCAGCCCTAGCTCCAGGTGATCTGATACCTCTGGTCTCTGGCCTCCCACATGTGTGCAACCACTCCCACACACCCCCACACACTGGCCTCACATGTACACACCCACTCCCACACACCCCACACACCTGGCCTCACATGTGCACACCCACTCCCACACACCCCACACGCCCCCACACACTGGCCTCACATGTGCACACCCACACACATGCACATAATTAAATGCCACTACTACTAAATCTTAAGGAATAAGGACAGAGAAAGGAGTGACAAGTCCACCCTCAAGGCAGACTGACCAGAAATAAAAGTTACAACTCATAATTAAAAAATTTTAATGGCCTGAGATTGCTTAGCAGCAGGTAAATGTGCCTGTCATCAAGTGTGGTGACCTGGGTTCAGTCCCTTAGTGCTTTCTAAATGCTTCAGATAAACTCATGTCATTTTATCCTTTCTCTCTTCCTCTGGTCATTAGAACAACCACAGTAACAGTCACTTTCATTAGAGTCTGATCATGAAGACCAGGACAGAGGTGACAGTGGATTAATGTTGGGATAGAATTATACTTTAGGTCTCTTTCCTTTAATCCCTGTTTTTCTCAGCACAGGGGGGAGATGTAAGACTGTCAGGAGTGTGTTGGAGTGTGTCCTAGTGGGATCACCTGTGGCTGAGATGAACTTGTTGTAGTTTTCATAAACCAGGGTCTGCATGTCGCTGTCTAGAGCCCGGATCTGCCGCACCATGTCCGTCTCACTGTCCATCAGCTGGGCCAGAGGACACTCCCTACGCAGCTAGAGAAGCAGGTAGTAGCATCAGTGTTAGTGCTCACTCATGTCCCCTTGCCTTGCCTTAGGTTAGTTGGCTTTCCGTGCAAGACAACCGTGATCCCACCCTTATAAGGTATTCTAGATATGGAGCTTACAAGTGACATACTTCAGGGTTTACTACTAAATTTGGGATTTGTCAGCTTTCAAAGTCTTCAGGCTCAGCTTAGTCAACCCAAGCCCAGCCTTGCTCCTGTCAGGATATGGCTACGCGCACTACCCCGGTCCTATCAGAGTGTCACCATCGAGATCACAGACCCCTGTATCACCTCAGGTCAGTCCTATCTGGTCCTCGCTTGCTTAGCCCCCAGATCTGCCCCTTTGCCCAGTAAGGGCTGTCCTCCTCTTACGAACTCTCGCTCCCCTCACCACATCAACAAAATCCGGGGAATGATCTAGGGTCCAGTATATTGGGGGTCTGGACCCGCCCTACTTCACACATACACACACCTTGTCCAGATAAACTTCCGGGTCGAAGTGCGCCCCATTGAGATCTGTCGGGTCTAGAGGGTCAGGCCCCGCTGAGTGCCCCGCCGCCTCCCCTTCCGAGAGGCCGTAGTAAAGCTTCAGCATCCCATGAGCCTTCCGCCGACGCTCCGGAGCGTCTGCCTCGGGTCCTTCTGGGGAGTCCCCGGGTCCGGGCCCCTCAGCTGCCGCTGCCGCCATATCTCCAGCCGCAGCACAGGGGGTGAGGGCTGGGGAGGGAAAGGAAGCACTTCCGGGAGCCATAAAGTTGTTGAAACCAGGCGGTCCTTTAGGTGAAACGTTCCTCTGCAGCTATAGGACATGTGAGTCTAAAGTTCCGCCTTGCAGTTCTGGAGTGCGGAGGTTTCGCTGAGCTTCTGGCTCCTGTGATTGTGTAATGCTGTAAGGTGGGCAATTCGTGGCATCCCAATCCTGCATCCCTACAGGAAAGACTCATGGAATATGTGACTAGATTGAATGAATGGGCATTAGAATTAGGGAATATATTTCAAAGGAGGTCTACAAGGATCGTGTCTATTCAGTAGCCTACACTATGGCTCTAGTGCAGTATTTCCTAAGGTCCTGTCTCCAAGGGTTTCTGCTCACCCTCAGTATAATAACCTTTATTCTGTGTTTACAGAACCTGTAAACCTGAAGTGGTTGGGGAAATGTGCTGAGTGAGGAGTTGAGGACAATTCCTGAATTTCTGAATTAGACAAAAGTCTGAGGCATTCATAGAGGCCAAACTCTCAAGAGAGGAGGGAATGAGGTCAGAATGGGATATCCTGAGTTAAATAGAAAAAAAAAGAGACTTTACTAGTGATGTGCTGTAAACGTTACCGAGGATGGGCTGATAGAGAGGTGGCCTGCCAGGAGTCCTGCAGACCAAACACTGACTAGCATATATTTTTATCTGTAAACCATGATTTACAAATGTAGTAGCTGGGTGGTACTGGCACACACCGTTAACTCTAGGCAGGTGGCTTTCTGAGTTTGAGGCCAGCCTGGCCTACAGATTGAAGTTCCAGGCAGCCAGAGCTACACAGAGAAACCCTGTCTTGAAAAAAAAAAAATTCGGGCAGTGGTGGCACACGCCTCTAATCCCAGCTCTTGGGAGGCAGAGGCAGGCAGATCTCTGTGAGTTCGAAGCCAGCCTGGTCTACAGAGACAGTTCCAGGACAGCCTCCAAAACAATACAGAGAAACCCTGTCTTGAACCTCCCCCCAAATTCTAATGATATTAAGATTTACATGACATCTGTCGAACCTCAATGTTTATTGTTTTTAATTATGTGTCTGCAGGTGCTTAAGGAGGCCAGAAGAGAGCACTGGATACTGTGAAGCTGTAGTTACTGTGTGAGCTGACCAACATGAGTACTGAGAACCAAACTGCAAGAATACATATTTTCACTGCTTTTTCTGTTTCTGTTTTTTGAGACAGAGTCTCACTATGTAACCTTGGCTGACCTGGAACTCACTATGTAGACCAGGTTGGCCTGGAACTCACAGAGATCTGCCTGTGATCTCTGCTTCCAAGTGCTGGAACCAAATGCGAGTGTTGTCATGCCCAGAGTCCCATGTCTGTCTGTGTCTGTCTGTCTCCCTGTCTCTGTCTCTCCTCTCTCTGTTTTGTTTTGTATTTTGAGACAGTGTTTCTCTGTGTAGCAGCTCTGGCTGCCCTGGAATTCACTCTATAGACTAGGCTGACCTCGAACTCACAAGATCTGCCTGCCTCTGCCTCCAAAGTGCTGGGACTAAAGGTTTGCGCCACCATTGCCAAGCCCCAGAGCCCATTTCTTGACCTATTATTTACAGCTGCTTGTGGTCTTGAACCACAAGTTTCTTGACTTCTATTCACTGGGCTATTTAGACACTGTACATGTGAAGATTCCAGCCTATGAGGCTGTAATTAAGAAAGTGAATTGGAGCTGGAGAGATGACTTAGCAATTAAAAGCATTTGCTGCTCTTCCTTATTACCCATGTTCCCAGGCTCACTACTGTCTGTCATTCCAGTCCTGGGAATCCAATGTCCTCTTTTGGCCTCCATGGGGAGCCAGGAACACATGTGTATTGCAGGCAAAATACTCATACATACAGAATAAAATTAAATAAAAAAATCATAAGATGAAGAAAAGAAAACCAAGCATGGTGGTGTGTACCTACCTAGAGTCCAGCACTCAGGAGCAAAGGTGCCAGAGAGGGTTAAGATAATCCTTACAGTAAGTTTGAGGCCAACCTAGGCTACATGAAAACTGTCTCAAAGACTAGATAAACAACAAAAAAGGGGGCTGGAGAGATTGCTCAGAGGTTAGGAGCACTGGCTGCTCTTCCAGAGGTCCTGAGTTCAATTCCCAGCAACCACATGGTGGCTCACAACCATCTATAATGAGATCTGGCGCCCTCTTCTGTAACACAGGTAACATGCAGGCAAAACAAAAACAAAAACAACAAAAAGGCTGGAGAGATGGCTCAGCAGTCAGGAGCAGATTCCTGACAGTTGTCTTCTGATCTTCACATATGCACTGTGGCATGTGAACACTCTCACTCCACCTACCACACATACTAAGATAAATGAGGCTGTGCATAGTGGCATACACCTTTTTGAACCATGTAGGTAGATCTCTGTGAGTTTGAGACCAGCCTGGTCTACAAAGTGAGTTCCGGGGTAAACCAGGGCTGCCTAGTTAAGACCTTATCTCAAGCACATAAAACCAACTCTAAGTCAATTAGTATTAACTAAATGTAGTAAAATCTTTAAAAGCTTATTTGCATTTCATGCTATAAAATACATAGGCTGCCAGGCGGTGGTGGTACACGCCTTTAAAACCCAGCACTTGGAAGGCAGAGGGAGGCGGATCTCTGTAAGTTCGAGGCCAGCCTGGTCTACAAAGTAAGTTCCAGGCCAACCTCCAAAGCTACAGAGAAACCCTGTCTCAAAAAAAAACAAAAAACAAAAAACAAAAAAAGGCCTTGTGGTGGTGGCGCACACCTTCAATCCCAGCACTCAGCAGAGGCAGGTGATCTGAGTTCCAGGACAGCCAGGGCTGTTACACAGAGAAACCCTGTCTCAAAAAGCACAAACCAAGGGGCTGGAGAGATGGCTCAGAGGTTAAGAGCACAGACTGCTCTTCCAGAGGTCATGAGTTCAATTCCTAGCAACCACATGGTGGCTCACAGCCATCTGTAATGAGATCTGGTGCCCTCTTCTGATGTGTACATGGAGGCAGGGTGTTGTATTTGTATTAAATAAATAAATTTTTAAAAAAACACACAAACCAAAACAAAACCAAACACCAAAAAACAAAAGCAAAACCTTGCCATGGAGCTGGGACATGCTCTTCCACCTTTCTGAGACCTTGCCTGTTCCCTACAGTGTCCCCTGTGGCAATACCAAACTTCCCAGGAAGTAAAGGATGGAATGGTGTCTCCTCCTTACACTACAGGCTCCTGCCATTCAGCTCACTTTGCCTATCACTCCACAATGGAACATCCTCAATACTCAGACACATCCTTTTCTTTGTTGGAATCAGGCTATGTTCTAGAACCTCGCCATCTCCAATGCCTCCCTCACTCTGGAATACACTGCTGTTTCTGCCAGAACCCCCTAGAATGGCAGCATGTTGCTGCCCCTGGACAGTGACCACTTGCTCCAGTTCCTGGGCCTGACTTGAGTCCAGGCTGTGACCAGGATGAGGTGGCGGGACCGATTAGCTGTATTATTCTTCCCTCCAGGCATGATGCTCACTGTAGCTGCACTCATGCTCTTCTTCATACACATGGGTGTCTTTGCTAGTGATGTTCACAACTTTTGTGTCACCCACCACTATGACTTCATGAGCTTCCGATACACAGTTGTCCTGACAGTAGGTCTGGGATGGGGGCTCCAGGGCTGCCTGGGGAACGCCAAGGGGCTGATGAGAGTGTCAGCTGTGTCAGGAGGCCACTCTCCCACTGGATCCATCTCCCAGTTATCCCAGGTGATCAGCATCTGCTGGGCTGCCATGGGGTCACTCTACGCAGAGATGACTGGTGACAAGTTTCTTCGATGCTTTGCTCTGACCATCCTGAGTGAGTGGGGAGGTGTACTACAAGAAGGGAGAGTTTTGAAACCCTGAGACATGGCAAGGAGGGAACAAAAATGTTGAGCTGATGGGCTCTTTCCTCCACCCAGTGCTCAATGGAGCCATGTTCTTCAACCGCATAACCCTGGAGTTTCTGGCCATCAATTACCGAGAAGAGAGCCACTGAGGCCTGGAGATTGGGGACAGGGCTGAAAAGGAAGATGGAAAAAGCTGCTTCCGGTATTTTAATAAAGCCTGTTGTTTATTTGCACCTGTCTGCTCCTTTGAGGGTTAAGTAGGAGGGTGGAGACCCAGGGAAAAGCAAGTGAAGACCAATTTGACCAACAAGGCTACAGACCCTGGCCTGCAGTCTCAGCCTCCAACTGACTTGGTCCAGGGGAATCTTAGTGTCTCAGGACTGAGGAAGAAAGGTGGAGAAAAGCTCTCAGAACTCCCAGACCTTCTCTCCCCAGGACATCAGGTCCTAAGCTGGCCCAGACACAAGCATGAGCTCAGGAAGGACCTACACGGATGTGAGGGTTCATGAGTGGGTCCAGGTTGGGATCACTGTCAGCTGCAGCCCGGCCGAGGCGAGACATAAGGGCAAGGAGTGCCAGGAAGCCCAGCAGCCCCAGCAGGAGCAGGAGCCCTGCCCGCTGGAGCAGAGTCAGTGGCCGCTTCCGGGACCCAGCCCTGCTCCTAAGAGAAATGAGGGGAACGTCAGATCAGGCCCTGAGGCCCTGCCCTGGCACAAAGAACGAAGCCTTAGTCACTATCTTTGGGCCTTAATTTTCCTTATTTGTGCACTGGGAATGTTCACCCCTGCTCCCCTGCATTGGCCATCATAAGGAGTTATTATGAAGCTTGAACCAGTGGGACATAAGTTGTTCTGGAGACTAATGGAAACCAGGTGGCAACACAGCAGGAAGAGGCCTCAGAGCCCAAGTCCAAACCCTCTGTAAGAGGAAAGGGCACGGCCCCTGGAAAGGACACATACACTAAGCCTGCCTGCCTCCCAGGGCCTCATTGTGGCCCTAGTACCGGATGCTGTTATGCCCAGAACAAGCCCCATTGTTAACAAATTGTCCACCATGGGGCCTCTCCTCTCTGACACCTCATCCTGTGTGTCTGCATGTACCTGAGCAGTTGGGCCAGCCAGCCCAGAGCAGGCCGGCGACGATATTTGTCATCATCACAATCTCCATGGAGTCCTGCTGTCCGGTCATCATCCCGTGTGTCATACACCTTCCTTGGGGCTATAGGGATAGAAACACCAGCATGAACAAGCTCAGACAAACTGATCCTATGCAAGTTGTGGGGAGGCAATATCTGTACTTGGAGAGAGGAAGAGTCATTCCATATGGGGCTCCTGAGCTCCCTCCACACAAATCACCCACTTTTTCCTATTTTCTGACTGGGGAAAATTTCCCAGCTTACCGTGTGTCGGGGCCTCAGTACTACCCATGTGTATGACTGTGTGCTGCTCAGGACGGCTTTGGGAAGAAGGGGGACAGGGAACCTGGCTGTAGAAAGCTGGAGCAACAGAAGTGCTGTCTATCTCCTCTTGCGTAGCAGGGCTGGTGGCTGTGGACAGAGAGGACTGTCAGTGGAGCAGGGAAGCAAGGCCCTGACAGCAGACGGAGGCCACCACTTACCACTGAAGCTGGACCAGTCAGAGAAGTCTGAGGAATTGAGGGGCTCAGGCTCTGGGCTTATCACCTCATCGATCTGGAGAAAGGATTCTAAGTTAGTAGCCTGCGCATTCATGTTGCCAACCCATTCAATCTGGCTCAGGTGAGGGTCAGGGCAGACAGATGGCCAGATAGACAGGGGGACCCTTACCAGAGGGAGGCCCAGTCCTGCCCGGGCCCAGTTGACTGTGGCTAGCTTCTCTCTCAGTGCTGAAGCCACAGGGCCAGCTAGGTTGGCTGGGGGGAAGATAGGACCATTACAGCTGGGGCACTGGTAGCCTGCAGGTGCTGTGTTTCGTGGTAGCTGGGCAGCACGTTCATTGATACAGGCCCAGTGGAAGAGATCTTAGGACCCATGAAATAAGAAAGGAAAGACATAAGAAATACAACTTGTTGGGCTCTTAGCCTAGGCCTAGGAATGTCTCCCATTCTCAGCAGGAATGAATGAACATATATGTGGATATCCAGGGTCATTCCTTTTCCTCTTCACCCCAGGTCCCCAAAGCTTCATTCAACCTTCTTGTTAACACCACTGTACTAAATCACAGTAGATTCTATCAACTTGGCCAGCCCATAAGAAGAAGGTGTGGCTGGGAAGAAAATGCCATCTACCAGAGTCTTCTCTGGGCCTGAACTCATCACACACTGGGCTAATAGCTAAACAACAATAGTTTCAGGCTGGGTGTTAGTGGCAGCTGCTTATAGACCTATCACTTGGGAGGTAGAGGCAGGAGGATCAAGAGTTCAAGGTCAGCCCCATGAGATTCCAGCTCAAAAAACATTACAAACAAGAATACTTTTAGGAAAGCTTCCCAGACATACACACAGACACATGCATATATCTAGAGATACAAATATACATATGCTTATAAATATATAAGCAAACCTAAGAGCCATTCCCTCAACCTTCACTAGTTGTCACATGTGTAAGATATACACATCTGTACATTCATGGCAGTTAATACTCAAAAACCAACACCCTCATTCGATCATGCGTTCCATGGAACATATGTTCATTTATATTCATTATCCATTCACTTTCCCATGAGTATTAATCAAATTGTGCACTTGTACGAGTGCACACACAATCTCATGGAGAAAGGCATGTAACATTTGCTCTTTTGGACCAGCATCTTGAAAAACTTAAGCTGAGGCTTTTACACCAGGCTGTGACTACTGTCTCCCTCTAGTTAACTGTAATGTGTGAGGCTTCCTCTCTGCTCAGACTTGGTATCAATAACATTCCCAAAAAAAGTGGATCTTGCTTTCAGCCACAGAGCACAGTCATCTCCAGCTCTCCAAGACAGGCAGAGCAGGAAAGAAAGACACCAAGGCTCTGGAAGGACAAGGCTTGCCTAGACTTACAAAGCCGGGAAGTACCTAACAGAATCGGGGTCAGAGGCCCTGGCCTCCAGGCTTCAGGGACTTATTGTCTTGATGCTTGAAGGGTTCTAGCAAACCAGTCTCCGAGCTGGATGCTGGGGCTGCCCTCACCCCTTCCTAGTGCTCAGGCCTCACCATAGCAGACAAGCCGGGTCGTCTCTCGACTGGTCAGGGGTGTGTTGCACAGGCGGCAATTAGGGTTGTAGTCACTATCTTGTAGCCACTGCAAGTAGGACTGCACGATGCACTGGAGTGGGAAAGAGATGTCACAACTGGTGCTCAGGCTCCACGATGCATATACCACCAAGGCCCGATTGCCTTGTTTCTTTCAGACTCATTTCGTCTGTTTAGTGAATGAACATTTACTGAGCCTAACCGAGGGCAACATAAACCAAGTCCTTGCCCTTGTAGAGCTCACAATCTAGCGTTGGGTCCCTCATGGATTTGGAAGGAGACAATCTGCCCTGCCCACCCAGTGCCCTGCTCAGCCACTGCTCTGAACGCCCCACCTTGGCGTGATTGGCTACCAGGCAGTGCTCGCAGACGTTAACTCGATGTTCGAAGCAAAACAGGTTTGTCACCTTCCTCTTGGGGCACTTGCAAAGGCCCATGACCGACCCTAGAGAGAGGATCTGAGTTAGCAGGAAACCAGGTTCAGGTGATTGCCACTATGTTCTCACTAACCTAGTTCGATTGTTTTTTAAATCCCCCAGACCCTTTTCACACCGGTCCTCAGCACGGGTAAGGCCACGCCCCCAGCAAGACCATACCACAGGCGACCCCTCAATCTATCAGGACCCAGCCCCTAGCCAGATATCTCCATCAATAACTCCAATAACACCAGCCCCGCCCCTAAAGCCCCACCCCCTCTTGACCCCACCCCCATCCGGCAGACCCCATTCTGAGTCTCAGAGAACCTCCGCGGTACCGGTCGCGACGGGTGCGTACTGTGGTGGGAAGCGCAGAAGGTCGGAGACTATGTGGACCCACTCCAGTAGCTGAAGCTCTGCTCCCTTCGGCTCTGGCCGCTCTGATTATCCCTCCGCTGCCACGTCTCTTCCGGGTGCGGCGCGCGCTGATGACGCCACAGCGCCACCAGGCCACGCCTCTACCTTACGCAAGACGTAAACGTGAGACAAGTAAGGGGTAGTTCAAGGATCGGCCTTCTTCTTGCGTCACTTCCGATTCCTCCTTTTCCTGGCGGGTGATTTGAACGTTTGCAGGCACAAACTTCCCGTTTGGCGCGAGCCTAAGTTGGAGACCGAGGTGAGACTGAGCCGGATCATAGACATGTCGGAGCGGCGAACGCGGTCCGGAGGGGCCGCCCAGCGGTCTGGTGAGTGGAGGACGCGCGACAGCGGTAGGGCCATGTCGTTTGGAGAATGAAACTCAGCCCCCGGGCAAGTTGGAAAACTGCGTCTGCTTTTCCGAACTCGTCAAGCGTCTTGTTTTGTTTGGTGGCTTTTTTTTTCCTCGAACAAAGTTTTGCTTATCTTTAAACATGTTTCTCTTCCCAGGGCCCAGGACTCCATTTACTAAGTCTTCGAAGAGGTCCCACCGGAAATCTGGCTCAGATCTCCCAAACATCTTTCCTGAAGTCTGGCCGAAGGTGAGATCCGAGTTCCTTAAGTACTGACCTAACGTAAAGCTTTGAACAAATGTAAAGCTCATGTTAACCCTTCTCCCCCTTTTCAGACACCTCATGCGGCTCCAGTAAGAAAGGCCATCATCTTGAAGAAGATCGTGGCTCATGCAGTAGAGGTGAGAGACAGGGATTTGGGAGTGAAATGTCAAAATGGGCTTCGCTGTTGATTGATAGGTTGATGTTATCTCTACAGGTCCCAGCTGTCCACACACTTCGAAGGAGTCCTAGGGTGAGTTCACTTCCACCGGCTTATTTGTGTGGGATCCAATTCTCTTTAGAAATGAGGGTAGGCATACTAAGCACCACTTCCACCCAGGCAGATGAGAACAACTTGCCTCGTGATACTTTAGATCTCACTGTGTAACACTGCTGTCCTGAATTGAAAGTTGCTGTAGACCAGCCGGGCGTTGGTGGCACATGGGAGGCAGAGGCAGGTGGATCTCTGTGAGTTCGAGGCCAGCTTGGTCTACAGAGCAAGTTCCAGGACGGCATCCATAACAATACAGAGAAACCCTGCCTCAGAAAAAAAGTTGCTGTAGACCAGGCTGGCCTGGCCTCAAATTCAGACATCCAACTGCCTTGGTCTCCCCAGTGATGGTATCAAGAGTTAAATGTGTCCATGCTGTCAGGACTGACTACGAATTGCCATTCTTGTTACTACCTGTAGATGTCCTTCATTTTTAGTTTTTGTTGTTGCTGGGCTGGGTTTAGTTTTTTGTTTTGTTTTTCAAGACAGGATTTCTCTGTAGCCCTGGAACTCACCTTGTAGACTAGGCTGGCCTCAAACTCACAGAGATCCACCTGCCTCTGCCTCCTAAGGACTGGGATTAAAGGTGAGCACCACTACTGTCCAGCTAAATAAATGTTTTAAAAAAGGGAAGAGTACAGCCGGGCGTTGGTGGCGCACGCCTTTAATCCCAGCACTCGGGAGGCAGAGGCAGGCGGATCTCTGTGAGTTCGAGGCCAGCCTGGTCTACAGAGCGAGTTCCAGGACAGCCTCCAAAGCCACAGAGAAACCCTGTCTTGAAAAACCAAAAAAAAAAAAAAAAAAAAAAAAAAAAAGGGAAGAGTAATTCTCAGCAGCCAAATCAGATGGATCTCAAACCACCTGTAGCTTCAGTTGTAGAATATCCAGTGTCCTTCTGGCCTCCATGGAAACATGCATACAAAATACAGACTGTAAAAGATGAGTTATGTGTACATGCTTTTATAGTTTTGGTAGAACTTTTGTTGTTCGCATTGTTGTTTTTCGAGACAGGGTTTCTCTGTGGCTTTGGAGGCTATCCTGGAACTAGCTCTTGTAGACCAGGCTGACCTGGCACTCACAGAGATCCGCCTGCCTCTGTCTCCCGAGTGCTGGGACTAAAGGCGTGCGCCACCACCGCCCGGCGGATATTTTGTTCTTGAACAAGATTTTGTTATTGAGTTGGTCTGATTGGCTTGGTACTCTTTGAGTAAGATAGGCTGGCCCTGAAGTCAAGGTTATCTTCCTTCCTAAACCCTAAGAGTTCTGGGATTATAGTCCCCAGTTTGATTTGTTATCCTGATGTATGGTGCTGGAGGTTAATCCCAGGATATTGCACATACTAAGCCGACACCCTGCTGCTGAGATAACCCCAGCCAGCTTCTGAACTATAAGTTGGGATGTCATAGAAAGATTTCTCTACGAGTATGTGAGTGATTTCATTGCAGCCCTCGGAGGAAGGGGGAGAGCCTTGAGTTAAGATGATGAGGCCCCAACTAAGATAAATGGCTGGACACATGTCCTATCACACTTCTTCCTGGAGAGCTTCCTGACTATTCTAATTTATTGACACATTTCTCTAGAGTTACTTACTTTATTCATCATCTGGTAGGGTACTTGCTTACATGTTTGATATCTTTCCCTTCTCTCAACATGACTACCTTGAGAGTAGGGACTTCCGAATTCGTGGCCAGCCTGGTCTACATAAATAGACCCTTTCTCAAAAAGTACAATCTTGGGTGTCTGTGTGGCTGCAGAGGAAGGGAATGTTGGAGGTGGTTCCACTTCTGATGGCATCCTTTTGTTTTCAAGACAGGGTTTCTCTGTATAGCTCTGCCTGTCTTGGGACTCACTCTGTATACCGGGCTGGCCTCAATTCACAGAGATCCTCCTGCCTCTGAGTGCTGGATTGTGTCCAGGCACGTTCTTCTGAAATGTCTCCTCTTCATGGCTTTTCCTGTCTTGTAATAGGGCATAAGGTGTCATTGAATTTGACCTTTCACTAGGTCTTGGCCTCTAGAAAACTAGGTGCCAAATTTCATGTCCATTAATTCAGTGAGCCTCCAGTAGTACAGGATTCTGCTGTACATCTGGACATTGGCAGAGTTGGCTAGACAGCTGGTGACCCCTGAGCCTCAAGAAGCTCCTCTTCTGGCTGGCATGACTGAGTTAACCAGGAACTGAGATAGCGGCCAACTTCAGATAGCTATATTGCTATACTAGAAAAGAGGAAGACTTCAGAATAGATGCAAATAAAAATCTGGACTGATGTGAACCCCAGGTATTGTTTAAACTGAAAGTGGGGTTACAGTAACCAACACATGAGCCTCAAGTACATGTCAGGTTATGCTTTTGCTGTTCACAGGGTCAAAGCCTTTGTGGTTGCCTTTGTATACAGAGGTGGTATTGCAGTGTACCATACTCAGAGATCCGCCTGCCTCTCTCCCAAGTGCTGGGATTAAAGGCGTGCGCCACCAACGCCCGGCTTGTTCTGCTTTTTAACCCCACCCCCACCCAGTTTTCCTTATTGTGTTTCAGTGCCACAGTGCAAGTTCTGAGATGCCAGTGCTTTTTTATTTTTTTAAGTTTTCCCCAGTATATTCCCAGTGCCCAGAATACTCCCTGGTATGGGACAGGTCACCAATAGATATTTATTGGCCAAATAAACATTTTGCAATAATCTTTAGTGGCTCTATAGCAGATGGCTCATGGAGGGTGAGGCTGAAGCAGGCAAAACAACTAGGAGACCACCAAGCCAGCTTAGGTACGCTGGGACTTTGTCAACTAGCAAATAGTAGCTACATGCCAGGTACATTTGGCAGTGGCAGCAAATGTAGTGAATCTTGTCAGCTTCTCCAGAACAATAGTGATTGTCTCCTTTTTCTTTCCAACAGTGGAGGTAGAAGCCAGGGCTTGTGTATTCTGGGCATGTGCTCTATAACTGTTTGTTGCTTAAAAGCTGTCCTGGACTGTCAATGGAACTCCTCAGCACATTGTCTAGCATGCACAGGGCCTGCCCCCTCCAACCATAAAATACACAAGAAATGGTAGAAATCCTGTTCTTTGTGGGCAGTCTTGCCATCCTGAATCCCTGAGCTGACGAGTTCTCTCACCTGTCCTGATACAGATCTCTTTTATCTTGGAAAAAGAAAACAACCCTCCTCTCAAGGTACCCACAAAGGAGGACCTCTTCAAGACCTGTAGTGTCCCTGTTACCCCCGCCAGCACCCCAGTACTATACGCTCATAACGTTGAGTCTAACTCTGGGGAAGGAGAGCTGGACACCAGAGACTTGGAAATGTCCCAGAAAGTCAGGCGATCATACAGTCGGCTTGAGAGACTCAATACTGCCTCAACCTCCACCCCTGGCCGCCGATCCTTTTTTGGCTTTGAGGGACCTGAAGACTTGCCCCAAGTCTCACCCGTCATGTGTTCAAAGTTAACTGAGATCCCAAAAGTATCTTCGAAGCCCTTGGTTCCAGACACAACGCTTCCTGGAATCTCTCCTCCAGTTGTGAAAGAAAAACGAAGGAAGAAGGTGCCAGAGATCCTGGTAAGGGGCGGGCCTCTCCCGAGGTTGCACTGTACAGGCACAGGGTGTGTGGGGCCAGGACTCCAGACTTTGAGGGAAGGGAATTCCTGAGGGTGTGGGTAACATTCTCTGGCCAGTGTGGCTACTTTCCCCACTCATATGCCCTCATTTCTTTCCACCAGAAATCGGAACTGGATGAGTGGGCTATGGCCATGAATGCTGAGTTTGAAGCTGCTGAACAGTTTGATCTTCTGATTGAATGAGATAAAGTGGGGGTACACCTGGCTAGGCTCTCCCCTCTCCCTGTACATATTGCCCTTTAGTAGAGCAGAACTTGTTACCCAGAAAGGTGTTGCTGGCCCTTTGTTACATTGTGGCTGATTACCCTGGGCTTTCTATCTCCACAGGATTGGGGATGAGAAGCTTACTCTGCTACAGTCCTACACTGTCAGAAACAGGTTTATCCGTGGGTCGTCTCTGGTGTTGTCTCTAGGCTTGGAGTCCTAGAGTCTGATAGGGAGCTCACAGGCTGGAGAGACAGTTAAACTCTTGGGGAAATCTGGACGTGGAGTCTGGGATGTGAGAGAAGGAGGTAGTCATAGTTGTTTTTTTTCACACAAGTGACTGTTATGTAGAAGCTGGTTGTGTTTGTGCTCTGCTGTTGACACACTGGTGAATGAGACTGATGCTTAGGGCAAAGTGAGTGTACTTCATGGTGTGGGCTCCAGCTGCCGCCACATCTGTTTCTTTCAAAATGAACTGCACAGTCGTGGCTCTGGATGTGGCTTTTTGCAACTACACTTAGAAAGTGCTGGATGTTATTTCTCAGGAGCCATGCAGCTAGCTGTAGCAGTGATGGCAGCTTTTGCTGTGAGCTTGACTATTATACTTTACATGAGACCATTCTCTGGGGGGGTTGCTGGGAACAAAAATGGATGCCTCATTGTCTCTGCTGAAGTGCTTCCTGCCTACCACCGCCTCTCAATTATGGTAGAAGATACAGTTTCAAAGGCCATTGTACTTCAACATATGCAAGTTCATGGGAGGAGAAGCTGCAGGGAATGAGAGCTGCAAGCAAGCACCTGAGGAATTTGTCCTCACTGGTCCCTATGGACCCTGAGCTGGACCCGTCTGTCTTTGAGGAACTAATGTATAGCCCTGGGAAAAGGTTTGATGTCAAATAAACTTTTAAAGAGACCTATCTGTTTTTGTTTTGTTTTTTGATATTTATTTTGTATACAGTGTTCTATATGCATGTATGCCCACATTCCAGAAGAGGGCATCAGATCTCACTACAGATGGTTGTGAGCCACCATGTGGTTGCTGGGAATTGAACTCAGGACCTCTGGAACAATATTCAGTGCTCTTAATCTCTGAGCCATCTCTCCAGCCCAAGAGTCCTATCTGTTTATGGACTGCTTTTTATTTGGTCAAAGACAGCCACTGGTATGAAGCCCTGGATGCCATGTCTTTGGCCTTTGTCGCCAGGGCTGTTCCTCTGTACAATTTGCCAGCATGGCCTCCCTCCAGGGACTGATTCCCTGTTCCTCCAAACTGGAGTTTACCAGAATGAAGCCCAGGGGAGGTATATGGAATTGATCACACTCCATCCCTCTTCCTCTTTTCCTAAGGCTCCATCCAGCATAGGAGTCTGTGGCTCAGGCATAATAACCTTTCCTAGATGTTGCCCAGCAGCTGGGCTACGGGCACCCCTGAGAAGCAGATCAAAGATGTGATTCCTTGACCTGTTTTGCAGATGTGAATGTCCCAGATCGTCCTCTGGTGAAATCTAGGCCATTAAATTTTCTCCAGAGCCCTTACTGAACCTAGAATACCATCTCAGCTCAACTGGCCAACAAGACCCACCTCTGCCTGTCACCCTTTCCCTGGTTCTAGGGTTACAGATATATTGTCACATTGGCTTTTATGTTTGTGCTAGAGATCTGAATTCAGATTTATGTCTCGTAAAACCAAAAAAAAAAAAAAACACAGTAGTGGGGACAAGTTTGCAATTTTATTAAAAAGAAAAAAACCCTATTCTGAGTGAGATAATGAGGTAGGGTAGAAGAAAGGTATCAGCCAACTGCACACCTGAAGTCTATGCTTGGGAGATGGAGATAGGAAGAGCAGGAACAGGCCATGCTCCATTGTGTGATGAGTTCAGATCAGCCTAGGCTACACCAGACAAAACAAACACCCTTTAAGTGTATCCCCTGCAATACTGTCATGTTTGGGATGTGTTTATGTGCAAAGATGTCTTCCAGGGGCTGTAGCTCAGGGGTACAGTGCTTGTCTAGCACACTCGGGCCCTTGGGTTTGATCTCCAGTACCACTTACATGAAAATGATTCAGTATCTGAGATTCATATGTGTTGTATTTCACCTGGCAGTTTACCAAAACTGCAAGTGAGCAGAATCTTGTCAGATGACTCCCTTCAAAAAACAAGAACAAAACAAAACAACAACAAAAAAAAAAATCAACAATGCAGGGCAGTGGTGGTACACACCTTTAATCCCAGCACTTAGGAGGCAGAGGCAGGCAGAGATCTGTGAGTTCTAGACCAGCCTGTTCTACAAAGTGAGTTTCAGGACAGCCAGGGTTGTTACACAGAGAAACCCTGTCTTGGGAGAAAGAAAAGCAAACCCTAAACAACGACAAAAAGCAAAACACAAGGGATTGGGGTGAGGGGTAGTATTTAAAGGAGCCCTACAGTTTTGTAAAAGTGGACAGTTATTTCCACTTAGTGTCAGATGGGCACTGAGAAGCAAACCAAAGATGGCATTTGGGACCCTCTGTTATGACACTTCTTTTCCTATTTGTTTTTCCAAATAGGGTCTCATGTAGCCCAGGCTGGCCTTTAAGTCATTATTTAGCTGAAGACTGGCCTTAAATTCTTTTTGAGACAGGATTTCTTTTGTATCCCTGGCTTCTGGAACTTGTTCTGTAGACTAGGCTGGTCTTGAACTCAGAGATCTACTTGTCTCTGCCTCCCAAGTGCTGGGATCAAAGGTGTGCACCACCACCACCTGGCTGGTCTTAAATTAGTGATCCTCCTGCCTATACCCCCTAAATACTAAGACTACAGCTGTGCCTACAATATTCATTTTGGGGTTGTAATTGGATTCATTCCCTGAAGATGGTCACGGGCTCCTGTACCAAATAAGTCTATTTGTTCCTTGAAGTCAAAGGTGGAAGAAAGAACTAGCTCCCAAGAGTTGTCTTCCAACCCTCACATGTGGGCCATACACATATCACAGTGGTAATAAACTTGGAAAAATAGAAAACTCTGTATTGATCGCTTTTTTCCTCATATGACAAAACAGCTTAAGTAAGGAGGGTTTATCTTGGCTCACAGTTTGAGGATGTGGTTCATCGCGGCTGGGATGTAATGGCAACAGGAGTCTGGTCACATTGCTTCTGTATTCACGATGCAGGGCCAGATGAGTGCCACTGCTCGGTTCTCTTTTGGCTTTTCATTCTGTCTAGGACCTCAGCCCATGGAATGGTGACAGCCATGTCTAGGGTGGGTCTTCCTCTCTCAGTTAACCCTGTGTAGCAACTTCTTGAGCAACATGTCAGGAGGTTTGTCTCCTAGGTGATTCTAGATTGTCAAGGTGACATATTAACCATCAACACTGGGCATCCTGTATTTGCTGAGGGCTTTACCATCTGGGCTGGATCATGGTCTGGCAACACTAGCTTGGGGGTTCTGGCTTTCTGGATAGAGCTGGTAATGGACACTCCCTAGACCAATTGCTACCCCAAGAAAACCAAGCTTGTTAGAAAAGGCAAACAAATAGGATGGAGGAAACAAGTCACCAAGCAGGTCTGTCTCCCTCAGTCTCCCACAGGCAAACTGAGTGCCCACTCCAAGCAGGCCTTGAAAACAGTAATGCAGCCTGCTGAGCCAAAGCTAGGAGAACCTGAGGCTGAGGACTCCAGGGAGCCCATCATGGAGGTGACAGCAAGTACTGGGGTCTCCCTCATTTACTGCTGACCCTAAGAAGGCAAGGGAGAGAGGTGGGCTACAGAAATTCTTCCTTAGCCTGGGCCAAGACTAAGATCCTCAAGTTCTTCCCTCTTGCTGCAGCCTCTAGTTGCTGGGGCATCTTGGGTTCTTCTCCAGATGGCGGGCCTCTTCAAAAAGACAACTCTCATTTGCCCTGTCTTTTCCACTGCTTCCTCCCCATAAGTTGAGGGGCACAGAGACCAAACCCCTGTAGAGCAGAGAGATGGAAAGGGCAAGAAGGGGAGGAAGGACTCACCTCTTGGGTTGGAAGCCTCATGCCAATTCAGTCACCAAGGTGCTTTTTCTGCAAAGCCATCTTCAGAGCAAAAGTTGGACCTGCAGTCAGAACCCACTGTCACATTCCTGTTCACACTCCTGAACACTCCTGAGCCCAAAGATGCTGAATCGTAAGACTGCCTGGATGGGTGTGTGTCTGCCGTGGGTAGGTATATCCCAAGGGAGGCGGAGGACAGCCTCCCCCCAGATCTACTCAAACCTATGCTAAGTTTAAGCTTTGGGCTAAACAGCAGGAAGGCCCACCCACACAGGACTGATGGAGCTGGGTCTCAGGCTGGGAACTATCAACTGGCCCCCAGACCCTGAGGTCTGCTTTCACCTCCCCAGGGACACAGAGACACTGGAGCACCGGTTCCTGGGTCAGGAAGACTGGGGCCCGAAGCGTACTTCAGAGGAGATACAGAATTTGCAGAGGGACTGCATGAGGTGAGCTTCAGGGACACGTAGGGTTAAGTTTACAGGACAGGATGGTGAAGCCGGCTCTGGTTCTTAGCTGAGGGCTTTGGGTCTTCACTTGCCCTGAATCCTCTGCCTGTGTCCTCTTTTGTCTTTATTCTGTCCTACCCTAGATAACCTCCTTGCCAGCAGGGCCCTCACCTCCCTAGCAAAAGTATCCTACAAGATCAAGAGTGTCCCACTGGTTAGTAACCACAGCCATGGCTGAGTGGCAGGAGTCTAGTATTGAGGATTCTTACCTTTTACATCAAAGAACTGGATAGGTAGCTGGCTGTGGAGGGTTCCATTCTATGATGTCAGGCAATAGAGCTTGGGGTCTGCTTAATTCTACCTGACAACAGAGGTCCTGGGATGGAGGTGATACCTCTCCTCCAGTGCTTCATGACTTTAACCATGGGTCTGAGCAATGCAAGTTTCAGCTCACACACTGCCGGCACGGAGCTCTCAGGCAGGGCTCATTCATAGTAGGAACTCACCAACCTAGAACCATAAACCAGTCCTAAACCAGTCCTGATACAGCGCAGAGAGGGATGGCCAGTCTTCTGCCCTGCTCCACAGAGACTTCAGAGGACTCATGGCCCAGCCCAGGTGATAAGCAACCTGTCCCTTGCTAAAGAAGAGTTGGGTGTGGGTCCACACCTGCAACCCCAGCATTTGGAGGTGGAAGCAGGAAGACCAGGGGTTCGACATCATCTTCGCTATGAAAATTCTAAGTCAGCCTGGGCTATATGAGGCCTTGTTATGAGTAAATAACAAATAAGAGTTGAGGATGTAGCTTAGTTGGTTGAGTTTTTGCCTTTCTGGAAGCTGAGATTCCAATCCCAGTACTGTATAAACTAGGTGTGGAGGTGCGCACCTTTGGTCTCAGCAGTTGGGGATAGAAATAGGAGGGTCAAGAGTTCAAGGTTATCCTTGTCTCCATATTAAGCTTGAGGCTAGGCTGGGCAACACAAGAGTCTATCTCAAAATTATCTAATTAATGAGAAGGGGTTGGAGAGATGGCTCAACAGTTAAGAGCACTGGCTGCTCTTGGAGAGGACCAGGTTCAGACCCCAGCACCCACATAGAGGCTCACAACTGTCTATGACGCTAGTCCCAGGGGATCTGATTCCCTTTTCTGGCTTCTGAGGACAACAGGCACAGGAGCAGGCAAAACATTCATAATATAAACTAGAAATAAGTTAACAATTTTTTGCTTGTTTTTAGACACAGGGTTTTACTCTGTAGCCCTGGCTGTCCTGGAACTCACAGAGATTCACCTGCCTCTGCCTCCTGAGTAGTGAGATTAAAAGCCTGAACTGCCACCACCCAGCATAAATCAGTAAATCTTAAAGAGAATGCTGGGGGCCGGGCATTGGTGGCGCACGCCTTTCATCCCAGCACTCAGGAGGCAGAGGTACGTGGATCTCTGTGAGTTCAAGGCCAGCCTGGTCTTTAAAGAGAGTTCTAGGACAGTCTCCAGACCTGCAAAGAAACCCTGTCTCAAAAAACAGAGAGAGAGAGAAAGAATATGCTGGGCAACTTAGGAGATGGCTCAGGAGTTAAGAGCACTGACCGCTCTTCCAAAGACCTGAGTTCAACTGTCTATAACTCCAGTTCCAGGGTATCTGATACCCTCACACCAATACACATAAAATAAAATTTTTTTTTGGTTTTTCGAGACAGGGTTTCTCTGTGGCTTTGGAGGCTGTCCTGGAACTCGCTTGGTAGTCCAGGCTGGTCTCGAACTCACAGAGATCCGCCTGCCTCTGCCTCCCGAGTGCTGGGATTAAAGGCATGCGCCACCAACGCCCGGCAATAAATTGTTTTAAAAAGTAAAAATAACACCCTGGACTCTTGGGGGAGGGTCTAGGCCCTGCCCTGGATGAAATGACAGACTATGGACACCTCCATGGATGGCCTCACCCTCCCTGGGGAAATGAGGGGATATTGGAGGGGTTTGTGGAGGGCATGGGAGGAGGGGAGGGAAAGGGAGAGGGACATGTGAAGCAACCTTGTTTCTAATTTGAATTTAAATTTAAAAAAGTAAAATAAATAAACACATACATAAAATAGAATGGTGGGTGTGGTGGCCCATGCCTTTAAATCCCAGAACCAGGAGGTGAGGCAGGTAGTTCTCAGTGTGTTTGAGTTCAGTCCTGTTTACATAGTGAGTTCCAGGCCAGCCAAGACTACACAATGAGACCCTGTCTCAACAACAAAACAAAAATATAAAAATGAAAAAAAATAAAGAGAAAAGGCAGCTGATGCAGGTTATATCAAAGGAACAGTTTCCTCCGCAGTGGTGACGTAGGTTACGTCCAGTCAACAACAGGAAGTGTGTGACTGGGGAAAGAGCTTGGGGTTCAGGTAACCTCTCTTTCACTCTAGGCTTCAGGAGGCACTTAACACCAACCAACAGGACAACCTGGTCCTTGAAGAGAGGCTACAAAACCTGGTGAGACCCCCAAGCCCCAGAGCACTGCCTTTGCCGTGGCTCCCTCCTGCCCCCAGCCTCACCTTTTTGCTCCTGGGGCTGAAGGTAGTCCTGCTGGTCAGCCACCATCTCAGGCCCTGCAACCCTTTCTCCCAGGCTACCACACTGTACGAGAACTTGGAGGACACTCTGCTCACTCCAAAGAACTATAGCGTCACCCAGAAGACAGCTGAAGTCTCTCAAGAGGAAGCAGGGGTCACCCAGGAGAAAGCAGGGGTCACCCAGGAGGAAGCAGGGGTCACCCAGGAGAAAGCAGGGGTCACCCAGGAGGAAGCAGGGGTCACCCGGGAGGACACAAAGGACACCCGGGAGGAACCCTTGGCTTTTGGGCAGCTGAAGAGGGCTTCTGCCCAGCGCTACTCCCTTGAGCCTCCCATACCTTTGCCAGTAGCCACCCCATTCTCAGAAGATAGTGTCTCACAAGAACAGCAATCAGCCCTGGCCAGGCCTGAGGCCAGAGAATGGACACCTCTTCAGGAGGTGGTTCCACCAGTCAGCCCCGCTTTAAGCCCCAGCAATAAAGATCCACACTGAGTTGCAGAAGCAAGTGTCCATGAGACTAGCACTTGGGTGGGGTAGAATCCAGCCTCTCCGAGGAGACCTGAGTCCCTGGATCTTCCTAACCCGCATAGCACTGCCTTCAGACTCACTCAATGACTGTTCTGTGGTACGCCCAGGGTGGGGCAGGACAAGGAAGGGCTCTGTCTGCTTCATCCTTGAGGATCAAGGCTGTAATTTGAGAGTGTAGACACAACACACTAAGGTCAAGAGGAATTTCTTCCCACCAGTGACCTCCAGCAAGTCACCACAACTTTTTGGGGTGGTTGTGAGGGCTTACTTAAAGCCTTTTTTTTGTCATTTTATTTTTAAAACAACCTTATTTTATATACCAATCCCAGTTCCCTCTAACTCCCATCCTTCCACTCACCCCACCATTTCCATCCACTCCTCAGAGGGGGAATCATCGAAGTCTGCCACATCATTTGGGGCAGGACCAAGGCCTCCCCCCACTGTATCTAGGCTGATCAAGGTATCCCTTTATAGGGAATGGGCTCCAAGAAGCCTGTGGGAGCTCACTGACTCCAGACTGACAGCTGGGGAACCTGCATAAGGCCAAACTAGGCTACCTGAATGTGGCTGACAGTTGGGGGCTTGGGAAGTTCATGGGGCCACTGGCAGTGTCACCACCCTTTTGTCGGTCACAGGGTGGGAAGTAGAAAGATGGCGGGAACTCCCCAGGGCCTGGAGATGCATTTAGATCTGGACTGTGACTGCTTCAGGGCTTTGCCTCTCAGTATTTGTCCAGCTTGGGGAGCCAGCCTCACAAAGCACCCACATAGTGGGAAAATAACAAAGATAACCTGTATGAACTGACAACATGACTGCTCCGTGGTATAGTTAAGGGAATTTTTTATTGTAGAGATGACTAGAGGCATCTGGAAGAGTCAGAGAGAAAAAGTAGACTGAACATGACCAGCAGACTGGACCTGGCCAGGGCTTTCTGTGAGAGAAGGGAGAACAGAGAAAACAGAAAAACAGCAGAGCAGAAGAGAGCAAGAGTTAAGTAAATGGATTGATAGATAGACAGATAGATAGATAGATAGATAGATAGATAGATAGATAGATAGATAGATAGATAGATAGAATATCAAGAATGGCAGGGTATGCTGGGTGGTGGTAGCCTAGCACAGGCTCCAAAGCTACCCAGAGAAACCCTGTCTAGAAAAAACAAAGGAAAAGAAAAAATAAAGGTACTTAGGCGGTAGTGATACTCCTTTAGCCCCAGCACTAGGATGACAGACAGGCGGATCTCTGTGAGTTCCAGCCAGCCTGGTCTACAAAGTGAACTCCAGGACAACTAGGATTGTTACATAGAGAAACCCTGTTTGAAAAAATAAAAAAAGAACAGTAGAGGAGGGGTAACTGGGGAAAGAAACCCTCGGTAAAAATCAGCTGCACCCTACTCCACTTTAGGTAAGTAGCCTCTGCATTTATGGAGCCTGAGCCAGTACTCCTCTCTAGCTTTCAAAGTTTACAAAGGATAGGAAACCCTAGAAAGAGTCGGGGTGGGAGTCAGGTGACCTTTGTGCCTGCTCTTGGGCAGACATCAACCAGGAGCTCCCTATCTGTGGCTCCTCCTCCAACCAGGCCTGACTCCTGCCAGCCCCAGGGCCTGGCTGTGCTAGGCAAGTGCTTTACCACTGAAATACATACAGCTGTGTCTTTGCAGTACCAAGGATTGCTCCAAGCTGAGGGCACACTTAGACATGGTTTGACCCTGTCTCAGCTTAGGCTGAGTGGAGCTCACACCTTTGCTTCAACAGGACACCTCTTCAGAGACCCAATCCCCACCTGATGGTTGGAGGGGGTTCCAGGCATACCCTTCAACTATTTCCTGCAATCCTTGACCACTGGCAGAATTGTACAATGTCATTTTCCAAAAAGGAATTACCCAATACTTAAGTTGACCATAGATGTTTTGGCCAACAGTTAAATGATGAATCTGTTTAACTGTTTTTTTTTTTTTTTTGGTTGTCCTGGAACTCGCTTGGTAGTCCAGGCTGGTCTCGAACTCACAGAGATCCGCCTGCCTCTGCCTCCCGAGTGCTGGGATTAAAGGCGTGTGCCACCAACGCCCCGCCTGCTTAACTGTTTAAGGACCTCTCTCCACATTTATTAGAGACCATCATTTATCATGTATAAACACATTCCCTAATATACAAAATTTTCCTAATATGTTTTCTGTCCCCCATAATAGGTTTCTCTGCTGATGCAGTCAGCCAGATCAAGCCCAACTGAAAAAGTATAACAACAGGTTTATTTGCCCAAAGCAACTACCAGTCCCAGAGATGGAGGCCAGAGAAGCTATACCCCCAAACTAAAGCAGGGAGACTTTATAGGTTGCAGACAAGGGGTGATGATGTGTCTGCCACAAGCTGGGTTTGTGTCCAAGTATGGTCAAAAGCTGAGCAGTCAGGTGGGACTTGGGCTGCTGGTGGCATCAGGGGAGGAAGTTGTAATAGTTGCTAAGAATTTGGAACTGGGCTTTTTGGCACCTTTCCTTTGTTTAGAGACTCTCTGAGTGAGTGGGATTTGGAGAGAGATGGAGAGAGAGTGAGGGGGGGATGGGATTTTCTGACCCATGCAGGGGTGAGCTGGAGAGTCCAACTGAACAATTATAGTAATAAAGCCTACTCCCACCCCCTCTGTGTCCACATTATTCAATTTAGATTGCTTAATCTTGAAGTATTGTCCAATAGGACTGAAGACTAAATACTTCAGACTTTGGGCAAGATAATAAAAGTGCTTCTAAGCCTTCTGAGCCCTTAGACTGGTTGACATTCATAAGGAAGCAATTTTTTAAATTAGTTTATAATAAGAGGAAAGTGCATGCTCTACAGTGCTTGTGGAGGTCAGAGGACAACTCTGGAGAGCTCTCGCTCTACCTTTACATGGGCTCGGGATCAAACAGCTCCCCAGACTGTGTGGCAAGCTGAGCCATCTCTCTGGCCTAGAGCCAATTTCTGATATAAAAGAAATGTTTGTCTCCAATGATGATTACAGGCTCTTGCTAGGTTAGTCAGGAGAGGTTCACAACACATCGTTTTCCTCAGGATTTCACTGTCAGCAACAATATTGTTCCATCACACTTTTTCTTTTTCTTTTCTTTTCTTTTCTTTTTTTTTTTTTTTTTTGGTTTTACGAGACAGGGTTTCTCTGTATTGTTTTGGAGGCTGTCCGTCCAGCCTGGCCTCGAACTCACAGAGATCCGCCTGCCTCTGCCTCCCGAGTGCTGGGATTAAAGGCATGCGCCACCACCACCCGGCCCATCACACTTTTATGTAAATAAATAAATCTCTTTTTCTGACCCAAACATCTTTTTTTGTTTGTTTGTCTTTTTTGTTTTTGTTTGTTTTTTTTTGAGACATGGAGACACGGTTTCTCTGTGTAGCTATGAAGCCAGTACTGGAACTCACTCAGTAGATCACATGGCCTTGGACTCACAAATCTAACTGCCTGCCTCTGCCTCCCAAGTACTGGGATCAAAGGCATGCACCACCACTGCCCAGTCCAAAACATCATTTTTTGTAATTGCTGTTATTGGAATATCTCACTTTCCTTTTGGGTTGGGTGGGAACTAAACTACCGAACCCAAACTGTCTTGTTATGCAGATGAAAGTTTCTTTCCTTGCCTTGAAAGGGACAAGATGGAACTTAGGAACAGACCAGCCTGAGGTCTGTGCCAGAGTGAATTCAAAGCAGAGTGAATTAAGGAAAACACCATAAAGTACGAGGAATTCCAGGGAAGGAGTACCCCACCCTAAGGACTTCCATCAAAGCAGACATCATTATGACCTGACTTACCTGTTCCCTCTGACAGGCTTCAGGCCTGAGAACCCAGGAAAGCAGGTTGCCAGACTGCTAGGAATCAAGTCAGTTACAGAGCCACCAGATAGCTCTCGGCCACAGGAGTATGGATGTCCCTAATGATATAATTTTAAAAAGAAATGGAAAGCCAGGCGTTGGTGGTGCACGCCTTTAATCCCAGCACTCGGGAGGCAGAGGCAGGCGGATCTCTGTGAGTTCAAGGCCAGCCTAGTCTACAGAGTGAGTTCCAGGACAGCCTCCAAAGCCACAGAGAAACCTTGTCTTGAAAAACCAAAAAAAAAAAAAAAAAGAGAGAGAGAGTAAGGAAGAGAGAAAGAAGCAGACAGACAGAGAAAAAGAGACAGGAGGTGGGCAAGAATGCTGTGAATGTAGTGACTGCAATCAAGGACTTATCCTGCCAGGATCCCAAGGGCAGGCCAGTACAGATGCCTGAATACCAACATCTAGTCTACCTGGCCCTAGAGTTCTGGGCTTCAGCTTGTATTGTTCTAAACTCAGTCCCCATGGCCACTCCTGTTGACACTGCCAGGAAGTACCAGCCCAGTCGTCTCTTTCAGATCCAATCCCACAGAGAAGCTGTGCTGACTTCACAAGGCCTCCCAGTTCACACTCAGCTGGCGTCCCCACATCTGGGAGTCAAAAGAAGTGTTGGTGTCTGCCAAAACACCATGTCCAGTCCTCCAGACTTGTTGGTCCTCAAGACACTGGGCTGGCTGACAAATCCTCCTGTGACCCTCTGGTGCCATCTCCACAGAAGTACAGAGCCAGAGGGCACTTTCCTGCCTGGAGACCGCAGTGGGACAGCTGCAGCCTCATCCCTGCTTTCTGTTCTAATCACAGCTGAGAATTTTGCAGCTGTGGGACCATGACTGGACATACTTTATCTGCAGCACAGTTGATGACAGTGTATACCTCAGAGGCTCCTGTTGGGGTTGAAGCATTCAGTGTGACTTATTCTAGTGAATTCTGGTTACTATCTGTCTCTTCTTGAGAGGCCTAGGAGAAGCAGGATTTGTTGTGGTGTGTGTGTGTGTGTGTGTGTGTGTTTGCATGGGAGTAGGAAAGAGTAAGACTTGCTTTGCTGAGTCACAGTCTAGAGTTAACACGGGCAATGATACAGGCCCAAGGGTGGAAGCTGACCTCATATGGGA